CGCTTTCTCATCAGATCTGGGGTACACTTCCAACGCAAGGGTTCCAGTCAACCCCCATGCGGGCTGCGCCTCTTCTGGACCCCCAGGGGGCGCCAGGGTCGAAGAGGAAGGGGGCGGAGAACTGGATGGGAGAAACAGGAGAAAGGAAGGAGGGGAAGGGGGGGTGATGAGGAGGAGGAGGATGAGGCGGAGGAGGAGGAAGACGAGGAAAAGGAGGAGCGCGAAGAGGAGGAGGGGGGAGGAGGCACCAGGAGATGCAGCGAGAGGGGGCGAGAGCAGGCGAGACCGGGCGAGGAGGAGGAGGGACCAGAGCAGACTCACGATGCGCGGTGCAGTATGTTTTCCTGTTCCAGGTCCTCCCCCATATGTCGTCCCTCGAACTACAGGGCGCACCCCTTGAGTGACGCGAGATCAGTGGGCCTGACAGTTTGCAGACGGCCCGCCTTGAGAGGGAACGGTGCAGTAGTTCCCAATGACGCGAATCAACACGAAAATACCATGGTAAAAAGGGAGCGTCCAGCGGGATCCCCAGGTTGAAAAGCTGCCGCTTTCCATCCGTGTAGATGTTGCATAAGCTGTCACACTGGGCCTTACGCGTTGCGGATGTCTGTAGCGCGAGTCCCATTGTGAGAAGAGAGCACTGTACAACTCTGTAATCGCTGAACAGTTTTACTGTCCAGTCAACCTTTGGGAAAAGAGCTTCAAACGAGAACCACACTTTGAACAAGGCCCGCCCTCCATCCGTCATGTAACTAATGGTTTGGATGTTTCAAGACGAGCGCACGCGGCGCGGAAGCGAGAGCCACACTTTGAAAGCCACTCGCTCCCCATCCGTGCGGATGCACATACCAAGCTTTAGCATCCCAAATGGCGAAGGTTTCTCGGGCGGAGCGACCAGCCCGCCCTCACGAAAAGCTTGGTGGTGCGTCGAGGAGACACTTGTGAGGACGAGGGACGGACGGAGGACTCCACCTCCCCCTCCTCCTCCCCCTCCTCCTCCTCCTCCCCCTCCTCCTCCCCCATCCCCCCCCCCATCCCCCATCCCCCATCACCATCCCCCTCCCCCATCCCCAATCCCCCCTCCCCATCCCCCCTCCCCTCTGCCCCTCCGCCTCCCCCTAACCGTCCCCCCGCTCCCTCCTCCTCCCCATCCCCCTCCCCCTCCTGATCCGCATCCGCATCCTCTTCCTCCTCCTCCTCCTCCTCCTCCTCCTCCTCCTCCTCCTCCTCCTCCTCCTGCTCCTCCTCCTCCTCCTCCTCCTCCTCATATCGCCTTCGCCTCCCCTGGTGGCACCTAGGAGGCGCCCGTGCACGGCCCGCGCCCGTGAGGGACCATGTGGGGGCGAAAAGGAGCAGCCGTTCGGCGACTGCCGCCGCCAACAGCCAGCCGGTCGCTGCCAGCCTCTTCCGCGGACCCCGTAGGATACGCCCTCGCCGCAGAGAAGTCACGAGCACCCTGTCCCTCTACCCCTCTGCCCCTCTACCCCTCTGCCCCTCTGCCTCCGCCTTCCGCCTCCGCCTCCGCCCTCGCTTCCGCCTCCGCCTCCGCCTCCTCCTCCCCCTCCTCCTCTCCTCCTCCTCCTCCTCCTCCTTTTCCTCCTCCTCGTCCTCCCCCTCCTCCTCCTCCTCCTGCTTCCTCCTCCTTCTCCCCCGCTTCCTCATCCACCTCCTGCTCGGCCTCCTCCTCCTCCTCCTCCTCCTCCTCCTCCTCCTCCTCCTCCTCCACCATGCTCCCCCCCCGCCCCTCCGCGGAGGCCAGGAGGTCGGCGGCGCGGCGGGGCAACGAAGGGGCGCCGCGCAGAAATTGCGGTGCATTGCGGGGCCCCAGTACGCGGCACCTGGCAGACGTCGGGGCGACGGCGACGGCGACGAAGACGACCACGACGGCGGCGGCGGCAGCGGCTGCGGTTGCGGCAACGGACGGCGAGGGCAACGACGACCAAGACGAGGAAGACGACGACAATGACGACCAGGACGGCGACGACGACTGGGACCGGATCAAACAGGACGGCGAACTGAAAGAGCAGGTGTGGGACGAGGACAACAAAAAGGATGGAGCAGTGCACATGTTTAAGAGGGAACAGGCGGTGTGTAAGATACTGTAAGAGGGAGCGGGCTCCTCATCATGCTCTACCGCCTCGCACTACCATCTTCGAGCTCGCAGCCAGCCAACCTATAAGCAGCACAAGGAATCCAAAAATGCATGGCGGCGGCGATGACATACTTCAGCCTTCCCCCGCCGGATACCTCTCTAGCAAAACACAAAAGGCTTGGCCTGCGGTTGAAAGGAAAAACGCTACGATGGAGGTACGACCAGCCACCTGACCGACCCGTCCCTTGCGCAGCGGCCACCAGCCTACTCAAGTGCCAATCCTGTTTTGGAAATGGGGCGGCCAGCCTGCCTGTTTCGTTCGGGCGACTGTTGCCTGGAGTCTCTGGTCGCCGAGGGCTTACCAGGACGAGGCAAATGGCACGCCGCATGATACACTTTCCCGCTCAAGCCCCTCGCCCACCCCCCTTTTCCCATCGCCGATGCACCAACGATGTCGGCGATGCAGTGGCGCCGTCGGCGAGGTGGAAGTCGGGTTCCGCATCGAGCCGCATCGCCGATTCGCAGGCGGTACGGCGCGATCCTTCGACCCCATCTACTCCGACCCCTTCTGGGAGGCCTAGAGAAGCTCATGGGATGTTTGGGATACGCCTTACTGGGGAAATAAAAGGCAATCTCGGGTGTGGGGGCGGTCTGTGCACGGAGGTTGACAACCAAAAAGTTGAACTTACCGTGTGGTCCGTAGGTACAGGACGACTGGGAAGAAAGAAGAGAAACCTTTTCCCATGCACCGCGGGATGAGCGGCGCGAGTGTTATCCAATACCTGAGCCGAAAGGATAGCAGGATGGATGGATGGAAAGGTGATATGAGCGGATTTCATGCACACGGTCAGGAGGCAATCAGCCTGCAACCAGGCAGGGGTCGGCGTGTGACTGGCCGAGGCCACGAAGCGCATTCTGCGCGCACACGCCACGCGTGCCCTGCGCACCAGGCGCGCTCAAGTTGGACGCTTCTGGCCTGTGAACGTTTTCTTATTCGGCGCTTCGACATCCCAGACATCGGGCGTCTCCAAAAAATCGTGACGGAAATTTTTCTCAAGGCTTGCCCTCTCGTGGCCCTCGCCGGGCCCCGGGACCGTCAAAAAACGACTCGGAATGAAAAACCGGTGACAGTTCAGACAGCTTTCGTGCCGCTGGCGATGAGATGCGATGAGAAACCGGTCCCAGGGAAGCGGTCGGGACGTCGGGGGCCCGTGTCTCGACAAAAATCGTGACGTCGGATGGCGGAAGGGGGGGGGGGGTCTGGCTCCGGCCCTCTGCTCAGCGCCACTGTTTGCAACAGTGCGTGCTGTGGAGGAAGCTCCACCTGCTCGAAACCATCGCCGCAAACAACCAAGATCTACTCCATAGGGGGGGGGGAAAGGGAGGGCGAGGGCCAGCGCCGATCGCCAAAACAAGGAATAAGGAAGCGATCACCTTCTCGGGGGAATGCTTGAAGAGCTTCCTAGCCACGTCCAGCCGTCGTTGGGGAGCCCCGTCCTGAAGCATCCTGGACGCACCCTGGAGGGGCCGGCTTGGGTGTCTTTGGGGCAACTTTGGAGCCATCTTGGGGGTCTCTTGGGGGCGTTCTGTGGCCATCTTGGTAGCCTGTCAAGGCTCGTTGGGGCCCTCTGTGACGGCTTGGGCGTCTCTGAAAGCCATCTTGGGGCCGCTCGGGGCTGTCTGGGGCCCGCCTGGCTCCTGACAAGCCCTCATGGGGCGTCTTAAGTGCCCTGCCCTCCTGGACCGTCTAAATCCACTCTTGGGCCGACCGGGAGCCTTCATGGAGCCCTGTTGAAACCTCTCTGAGCCACGTTGGGGCGATATTGAAAGCCTTTCGGGCGATCCTGGGAGCCCTCACGGCCGAAAAGACGAAGATACGAAAATCACACAAAACATAGCTAGGACAATCTAAGAGCCCTTGCTGTCAAAGGGCTGTCAGGGGTCATCTCTGGGCCTCCTGGGCCAGTCTTGGGAGTCGTTTGGGCGGTCCTGGTAGCCTCTCTGCTGTCCGTGCGCGCTCTGGGTTCAGCTGGAGCGTCCGTCCACTCGGGCCGCCCTGGTGCTACTTGGAGGCCAGCTGGGTGCTACTTTAACCGCCAAGCTTCCCCCGGGCCCCCTGTGCGAAAGTCGGTACTCGGGGGAGGGGGTCGAAAAAGTGGCCCCCCCGGGCCCAGGGGACTGGTCGCCGGTGATACACATGTATAGGGGTACACGTAAATAAAAACTCTCACATTTACAGATACATAGATATACATAGATACATATATATATATATATACATACATATGTACAGACATGCATGTATGCATACATGCATGCATGCATGCCTATACGTAAACAAATCCAAACATACATACATATATATATATATATGTATTTATACACATGCATACATATATATATATACACATGTATATATGTATACATATGTGTGTATGCACACTCACACACAAACAGACACACGTACACCGACAGACCAAAAACATACATATAGGCGTGCACATTCACATACACGTTCACATACAATGAACATATGGCTACACATGCACATATACGCACGTATACCTACACATACACCTGTGCGAAGCCTGCTCCTGTGCATGTACATAGGCATGCCAGTTTACATATACATATAGATGTACATATACATATAGATACACCTACATATGCATACGAATGTACGCATACATATACCAAAAATTGTTACACATACCTATACATGTATATGTACGTATATAGACGTAAAGGGGTGAACATATGCAACTGCATGTAAATACATACATGCACGTGTATAAATATACCTATATACATATACATGCCTAAACACACACACACACACACATACACACGTACAAATGCCCGTGCCTATGTATATAACAATGCATATACATGTACCTATGATGTATATACAAATGCAGTTACGCGGGCATCTACATGTGTATGAACCCATACACATACATGTACATGTACCTGTACGTGAGCACATGCCAAGAAATATAAATATGCATGGACACAAACATATACAGTTACGTACGCATCCGGATATAAAAATTAGCATGTACATCTGCACAAAAATATGGAATGCGCGTGTATATATACACATACACGCACGCGCACATGGACACGTGCACACACTTATACGTAATCATAAATATACACAAACAAATTCGCATACACCTACACCCCAACATCTCTGTGTGCGCAACAACTGCAAGATAAACACGTGCATGTACGCATACAGATACACATACACATACGCTTGCATATGCATATGCATATACATATACATATGAAGGTACATACACATGAACACATACACCTACACAAAAGCCCACACGTACACATACCCATAGTTATATAAAAGCATGAACACATGTATGTACACCATACGTACACAGATACGTGTAAATATACATGCACGTAAACGTATGGCGATGCAGTTACAGGAGTCCATTTGCAAATACATATACATATAGACATACATATAACATATGGATATACACATTACAGATGCCTGTGTAAACATGTACATGCAAAGCCCATACAATGCTAAATGACCATACACCTGAAGATATATATGGACATACAAATATGCATCCACGTAAACATATGCGTATGTATATACGCATGCATATATGTATATACACTATACATATACACATGCATGTATACAGACATGTGTACATACATGTGCATATACATGTACACAGTGGTGTGGATATACATGTTCATAAACATGTTACACACACATGTTCACACACATGCACCTACACATGTGAATAAACAATTGCCTATACGTATATCTATATATAGATGGGCATGCACATATTAGCTCACATGTACATACGTATACATAAGTGTACATACACAAATGTATGCACACATACATACAATTCTACCTTAACATATACGTGCAAAAAATACCAATGCATAAACATGTATATATACATGCACAGACATAGAAGTCTCCATATATCTATACGTGTACATCTGTTTATGCATACACATGTGGATATAGATGTGTGTACTGAAACATCTATTTTGCTGGGGCGATGCGCGGGTGCCGCGCTTCCGCGCCCAACTCTGCGGGTGCCACAATGCGTGTGTGTCGGAACGTGGTCCATGTTGACTGTCTCGCTGCATCCCTTCGAACACTACCGGGTCTGTGTACAGATTTACATCTGTACATGAAAGTATATACACACAAACACATGTTTTTCCTGACAATATGGACATCGCGTCGCTCCTCGTCGACGAACGCGTGACAGGAAAGGGGCGGGGCGCACACCCCGCCGCGAGGAGGCGACATCTCGTTTTCGCTTGGGGGGGCCGCGCGCATTTGTCCAGAGAGTTGAGACCCCGCTGGGGCTCGGCGAACATTGTTCGCACGCCACTTCGTCGACGCGCGAGCGAGCGAAAACGTCCTTCTCGCTTCGGCGCCGCACAAATTTCGCCTGAACGTGGCGCTCCCGCTCTGGCGTTCCGCCAATTTTTTCCCGCGCGCCATTGCTGTGGCCCCGCGCGAGCGGGCGACCCGTCGACTTCGCACAAGCTCCGTGCGCAGTTCATCCAGAAGTGGCGTTCCCGCGCGGGCGCGAGGCATGGTTCTTTTGCCGAGTCGCAGCAAAGGGTCAGCGGCAACGGGGCCACGCGAGAGCGAGCGAAATGCTGACCTCGCCCTGGTGCCGCGAAGACTTTTCGTGAAAGCGACAGTGTTGTGTCGGCGCGGCGCCTGCTTCGTCTTCGCCGCGCTCATCGGAAAGTGTGCAGCTCCCGCCCCTCCGCGGCCCGCGTACTCGTCCGTCGCCAAGCCGTCGGAAACGGGGCCGCGCGTGAGCGCCTTCGGCTCGCTAGGTGGGAACGCGTTGCCATCCCAATCACAGGCTGTGTCACCGCTGATGACTATGCTCGCTCTGGCTCGCTCGACCTGGCCAACTTGACTCCTACTTTCCTGGATGGAAGGAGTGCCGGAGCGACGAGTGCTGGCGCACAAGGCGCACAAGGAGCCTTGTGCAGAGCAGCGCTTGGCCAGCAGAGGGTCAAGCCCAACAGCAATCGCAAGAGCCCCGCATAGGGCGCACAAGGTCCCCCGCACATGGCCACCGCACAAGACTGACGCGAGTTTCCCTTCGACTCATAAGAGTAGCTTGGCTCTTACTCACACTCCCGCTCGCGTTCCCACTCCCATATTCCCCCCCTTCCTTCACCTCCCTCCCATTCCCTACCCTTCCAGACAAGGTGATCTGTCGGAGCTCTGCTCCTGTCCCCCCTCCTCCCCTTCCCTCCCCTTCCCCGTCCTCTCCTTGCCCTTCCTGCCCCTTTCTTTTCGCTACGCCCCCCGTCCTCCTCCTCCTCCTCCTCCTCTACTCCTCCTCCTCCTCCTCCTCTCCCCCTCCTCCTCCTCCTCCCACCCACCCCACCCACCCACCCACCCCCCCACCCACCACCCACCTCGCTGCTCTCCTTCTTCCCCCTCCCTCCTACCCCTCCTCCCCCTCCTCCCCCCTCCCCCTTCCCACGCAAGCTGTTTGGCGGAGCCGTGTACGCGTCTCGTCTGAGGTTGCAGAGGGTGAGCACTGTGAGCACCCTGTGCGAAATGTGACACCTCGTTCTCTGAAGTCGGCCCCCCCCTCCGAGGCCACCCGAACGAGCTGGGCTGGCCACCTTGGGAGTGGCAACCGGCGGGGAGACCCCGTGTTCCGTCCCGAGCGTGCGTCCTCCCGCTGCGCAGGCGGCTCCGAACGGGGGTGGAATTTGGCGCCGGTGCCGTCTGCCTTTGGGTCGGGGCCCCGAGCTGAGGCAGAGGAGAGCGGAGCCCGCGAGCTGGAAGCCTGAGCCCTGGCCCAAGCTGGGCAGGCCACTTGAGAGCCCGAACGGGAGGCGATGCGATGTCCGTGTTTTGGGGGGGGGCCTGTCGGCGGGCACCGCCTGGGGGATGAACCCCATGCAGGCAACGAAAAGCCCTCGTCGGACGGGCACCCCCACCCCGTGTTCTTCTGTCTCTCCCCTTGACTCCTTCCTTCTACGGGCAGTAAACATCATCATCCTCCTCCTCCTCCTCCTCCTCCTCCTCCTCCTCCTCCTCCTCCTTCTCCTCCTCCTCCTCCTCCTCCTTCCTTCCTTCCTTCCTTCCTTCCTTCCTTCCTTCCTTCCTTCCTTCCTTCCTCCTTCCTTCCTTCCTGCCTTCCTTCCTGCCTTCCTTCCGTCCTTCCTACCTTCCTCCTCCTCCTCCTCCTCCTCCTCCTCCTCCTCCTCCTCCCTTCTCCTTCCTTCTCCTTCCTTCTCCTCCCTCCCTCACCCTTTATCCTCCCTTCTCCAACCTCCCTCCCCCCCACCAAAAGTACTCCCTGGACCTCTCCTGGGGTGCGTTCTGACCAGAAGCTCGAGGCGAGTCCAGCCGTGGCGACGAGGCCTCCCAGGAGGCCCCAAAGGGGAAGACAAGGCAAAGGTAGCTCACGAGCGGCGAACGTATCCCTACCCACGCCATCGCGGTCTAGACTCCAGGGTGCGATCCCGCGGATACGCGGTCGCACGGATGCATTCCGCACGGGGGATCCGCGAAAAATCGTCCCGTATCCACGGGGTCGCGGCCCAGAGGCCCGGCCCGCGAGGCCGTGGATCCGGAAATCTTCTCCGCCCACCAACATCGGGTCGGGCGAGGGGGGATAGCAAAGGGGGGGGGGAGAATCAGCTTACGTAGCTGATTTTCCCGGCGCCTCCCGGCGCCGGAGGCGGCCATGTATCGAGGAATGGGCCCCTCGGTGAGGCCGGAACCAGCTGCATGCAGCAAATCTCGTAACCCCCCCTTTCCCAATCCCCCCCTTTCGCCCGGCCCGACAATAGCGGTGTGGGTACCGCTTTCTTCTCTGACCCCCTGCTGGGCAGCCACGTGTGAACCCTACCCCCGCAGGTCAGACTTCTAAAAAACGCACCTCTGAGATCCAGCAGCTCTGGAGGACGGCAGTCATCGGGCGCAGCGGCCTTCCCGGAGCGCTCCAGAACGCGCCGAGAGCGTTCCGGAACGCTCCGGGACGGATTCATCCCCTCGGCCTATCGGGGGCGGCGACGGGGGCGAACAGCACAGGGGGAGACCCCAGGCTGCGCCGATGGGCCATGCCCTCGGCGAGGCTCCTGGGCGAACGCGGATGCGTGCAGCGCCCGCCCCTGGGGCTCTTGACCCCTGGCCCCACCCGAGGTGCCCCGGCGCCGAGCGGGCCCGCAGGTGCAGGAGCCGCCATCGGGCGCAGGCCTGAGCCTCTGGAGGGGTTGGACGAGGAGGAGGAGGAGGAGGAGGAGGAGGAGGAGGAGGAGGAGGGGGAGGAGGAGGAGGAGGAGTTGGAGGAGGAGGAGGAGAAGATGAACGAGGAGGAGGAGAAACGGGCGGTGACCTCGAAATCCACCAAGACCTCACCGCACGGTCCGTCGACGCACGGCTTGGGGGCCTCGGGTGCCCCAGTCGCCGGACACGTCCTCGGAGAACGACCCGGGTCTTATGTTGCTCCCATCGTACTTGAGGACCACGTCCCAGGAACAATTTCGAGCACCTGGGAAAGTGTCGAAAGAGTGTCGAAACAGTGTCAGACGAGTGTCTCCCAGGGCCCGACGCGTGAAAAAAACCCGAGTTTCGGTACTTTTTCTGGCGCTCGAAATTCTTTGTGTTGATCAAGGCTAAAGTAGGTTGGAACATCATAACCCGAGTCCCAAAAGCGTGCAGCGACCCCGAATCCCCACCGACTCACCACGCGGTGTGGTCACTACCCCGTCTGGGGGCCCCCCTCGCCCGGGCCATGGAGGTCCCCAGGGGGGGTGGGGGGGCGAGAGCAGCGGCGAGAGGCGGGCGCGCGCCCGCGTCCACGGGCAGCTGCCTGAGCTCGGCCACCTGCGCCTCTCGGGGGGGGGGGCAGCGGAGTGGAGCGGAGCGGAGCTGTGCTTGTGATGCCAGGTACGGGCCTCCTCCTCCTCCTCCTCCTCCTCCTCCTCCGCCTCCGCCTCCTCCTCCTCCGCCTCCTCCTCCTCCGCCTCCTCCGCCGCCTCCGCCGCCTCCGCCTCCTCCGCCTCCTCCGCCTCCTCCTCCTCCTCCTCCTCCTCCTCCTCCTCCGCCTCCTCCTCCTCCTCCTCCTCCTCCTCCTCTCTCCTCCTCCTCCTCCTCCTCCTCCTCCTCCTCCTCCTCCTCCTCCTCCTCCTCCCCTCCTCCTCCTCCTCCTCCGCCTGCCGCCTCCACCTCCGCCTCCGCCTCCGCCTCCGCTCCGCCTCCTCCTCCTCCGGCCTCCTCCGCCTCCGCCTCCCGCCTCGCCTCCTCCTCCTCCTCCTCCTCCTCCTCCTCCTCCTCCGCGCCTCCGCCTCCGCCTCCGCCTCCGCCTCCGCCTCCGCCTCCGCCTCCGCCTCCGCCTCCGCCTCCGCCTCCACCTCCGCCAACCGCCTCCGCCTCCGCCTCCTCCTCCTCCTCCTCCTCCTCCTCCTCCTCCTCCTCCTCCTCCTCCTCCTCCTCCTCCTCCTGTCTGCCTGCCTGCTTTCCTGCCTGCCTGCCTGCCTGCCTGCCTGTCTGCCTGCCTGCCTGCCTGCCTGCCTGCCTGCCTCCCTCCCTTCCTCCCTAACTCCCTCCCTCCCTCCTGCTCCCTTTGCGGGAACGAAAAATGAAGCAATTCGCGGGAACAATCCAGTACTAGTGAGCCCGATTCAGTGGCCACGAGGCTGGACTAGCCAAATGAGGCAAAGGAGTAGACCATACTGAAGAGGATCATGCAGGCTCGGCCAGCCTAGCGATTTCTCCTGTCGATGTCTCCTGACATCTCTGAATATCTCTGATACACCGAAATAGAAACCAGCGTGGACCCCAAGCAATAATTTGTTGCACTGTGGCCGGGTAAACGATGTGGGTAAAGCTATGTGATGTAAGCTATGAGGTGCAGTATAAGTGGTGCAAGCTAGCGGCGGCAACAAAGCGGTAGCGGGCGGAAACGTGGCGAAACCTCTCCGGACCCACCCAACACATGAGGCGGCAACGAAGCGGCAACGAAGCGACAACGTGGCGAAACCTCGCTGGACACACCAAGCGCACGAGGTAGCAACGACGCGGTAACGGGCAGCAGCGTGGCGAAACGTCGCCACTGGACCTACCCAACGCACCAGGCGGGAACAAGGCGGCAACGAAGCGGCCAGCAACGGGCGGCAACGTGGCGAAACCTCACCCGACCCACCCAACACACGAGGTGGCAACGAGGCGGCAACGAGGCGACAACGGACGGCAACGTGGCGAAACTTTGCCATGCCCACTCCGCGCACGAGGCGGCAACGAGGCGGCAAGGGGCGGCAACGTGGCGAAACCTCGCCAGGCCCATCCAATTCCTTAGCAACCGAAGCATGAACCCCTAGCTAAGTGCAAGCACTGCTCGGGGAATAACCGATAACCTCCTCTTGGGTGTGGTTCTCCCCTCCTCTTCAGCTTTCCCTCCTCCACCCCCGGCGCCCCACCTGATTTACGAGGCCGAGCGGAGAGGCGCATCCAAAGCAAAGCCGCTACTCGAGCCCGCTGCAGCCAAAACGCATACCCAGTAAGGATGCGAGGGCCTTTCAAGACCATCTTGACGTTTTTCGAACGGGGCTGCCAGCGAAAGTCGCCACGGAGGGGCCGAAGGGGCAAGGATGCAAGGGTATCCTCAGGAAGTCGCTCATCCTGACTATGCGCTCTGACTGCAGCCCAGTAGAAGTTGTGAGGGAGAAAATGTTCACATTCAAATGGTCTGAAGATCCACTAGCCCAGTGGGATTGCAGGGATCGGCCCAAACAGTGTATCTCGCTCTCGTTGTCTTGGGTTCCCCTCCTTTCGTCTTCCATCCGCCCTGCTGCAAAACGGCATCGAGACGAACAAACGGCCCAGGAGATCGCCAGAAATAGGGAAACGAAAGAAGGCATAAACATAAAAACTCTGAGGTCCGCGCGGGTTTCTTGGATCCGCGCTGGACCCTCCTCCCTGGCGCCGGAGGCGCCGCCAGGGGGCCCCAGCGCGGATCCGAGAAATCCGCGCGGACCTCCGAGTTGTTATGTTTGTTTCATTGTTCGCTCCCCTGCGAAAAGACCCCGACCCCGGTGGCCTGGGGCCACGGCCCAGGGAAGACCCCCATGGGGGGCCCCAAGGGCTGCGCGAAGAGACGCCCGTGACACGCCCTGGGCCAGGGCCCCGCCCCGTGGCCCCGGCGGCGCCCACGAAGAGGGCGGCGCCCGGGGGGGGGGGGCGGCATCCTCTCGTGGGCGCCGCCGGGGGCGGCATCCGCCCTGAGGGAAGGCGTCGGGGCCTCCCAGAAGGCTGGCGGGCCTCGGTTTCTCAGAGGGAGGCCACATGCGAACCCTACCCCTACCCCCCACGATTTCTGAGGGGGAGGGTGGGGTTCACTTCGTTCGGGAGCTTCCGAGCGAAGTGAGCCCCACCCTCCCCCTCAGAAATCGTGGGGGGTAGGGGTAGGGTTCGCATGTGGCCCCCTATTCTAGGCAGCCTGGTGGACCAGAAGGCAGACGACACCACCCCACCCACGGCCCCACGGGGCTCGGCGCATACCAGGAGATCTGACGCGGGATTTGGCGTGGTATACGCTGCGGCCCCCGATGGGCCGTAGCGCAACATGGAGGGCCGCAGGTGAGATGGTGCCGTTTGTTTTTGTTGGTCGAAGCCTCCTTAGAAGCCTTTGTAGAGAGCAGAAAATCCACCCTCATAGTAAGCACCCCGACAAGCGAAGCCATTTAGGAAGCGCGCCCCAGGAAGAAATCGAGCTGGGCAGGACTATGCAGCAAACGCCTGGGACCGTTCAAGCAGCGCCTGTTATCGGGGTCGGGGGGCTTTTGCTTCTCTTGACTCGGGCCCCTCCTCAGAAGGCCCCCTGCCTTCTAAGAAGCCCCCCCCGCTTCTCAGAAGGCCGCCCCCCTGGAACCACCCCCCCGTGGGCGCCGCCGAACGACCTGGGAGACCGCGGCGGGGCGAGCTGCCGGGCCCCTCATCGGCGATCAGTGGGCGAATTGGGCGTCAACGCATCCCCTTCTGAGCCCATTCACCCCCTCACGTTGCCCATGATGAGGGGCACGAAGAAAGACATGAATATAAAAACTCGGAGGTCCGCGCGGGTTTCTCGGATCCGCGCTGGGGCCCCCTGGCGGCGCCTCCGGCGCTGCCCCTGGCGCGCTCCGCGCGCCAAGGAGGGGGGTCCAGCGCGGATCCGAGAAATCCGCGCGGACCTCCGAGTGTTTATGTTCATGTTATTCTTCGTTTCGTTAGTGATAGCAACACCCTGCCTTGGCGACCACTTTTGATCCCGTTGGCGCTGGAGAGACAGCGCGCAACACCGATCTCCGAAAAGCACGCCATCCATGTGAGGCGATCCCCCCGCGAGGGCACCTTCTGCGCACGCCATCCCCATGCCAGGGTTTCTTCGGTGCACGCCATCCCCAAGGGGGGGGGATAGCGTGTAACAAGCGGGCCGACAGCGCCACATCACACGCTGTCTTGAAACTCAAACCGTACTCTACTCCCAATCATCCTGTTTGAAGCAGCAGCGCCCCGCGTCCACTCCTGGTCCTCCTCCCCCGACTCCCTCCTGCCTCTGCCCTGGCACACTCCCGCCACGCTTGCCAAGTCCCATAGGAGCTCCACAGAAAGCCGACATGAAAGAGTTCTCATGCAATCGCGGGCTCATTTCGCCGGCCCTGGCACGCTTGTCAAGCCCCAAAAGAGCTCCACAGAAGGCCGACATGAATGAAAAAATTCGCATGCAGTCGCGGGCTCATTTCGCACGCCCCCGCCACGCTTTAAGCCCCAAAGGAGCTCCACAGAAGGCGGATATGAGAAAGTTCGCATGCAGTTGTGGGTTCATTTTGCTCGACACTGCAATGGTTCTCAAGCCCATAGGAGCTCCGCAAAAGGCCGACATGAAAGGCTCTACCTCGCGCGCCTGTTGTTCCCAAGGGCCGTGCGTACGAACACAAAGACCAGCTGTGACGGGTTACATACACGGGTAACACTTCACGGCCACCCTTTGCGACCACATCAACAATGTCGTCATCATCGTCATCTCTCCTCCTGTCTCCTCCTTTTTCTTCCCCCCATGTGCCCGCTGTCACCCGGTGCATCTCCGACAATCGCGACGACCAACTGTAACGGACCAGCCGTAACAGATCTAGAAGAAGAAGAAGAGATAGAAGAAACAAACAGACAAACAAAAATGGCATAAACATAAACTGTTGGCGCTCCGTGCGGATTTCTTGGATCTGCGTTGGACCCCCCTCCCCGGCTCGCGGAGCGCGCCAGGTGCGGCGCTGGAGGCGCCGCCAAGGGGGCCACAGCGCGTATCCAAGAAATCCGCGCGGAGCGCCAAAAATTTATGTTTATGGCGTTTTTCCTCCTTCGAATATCCGCCGATCTGGCGCGTGAGCTCGCTCAAGATTCGCTCTGCGGGGGGGGGGGCGCCATTCCCGACGCATTTTAGTGCTCGGGGACGGGGGGGCCCACAGGCGCCCAAGAAAGCCCCAGGAGACTCTGGAAGGGGGAGGGCGAAGCCATTCCCGACGCATGTATTGCTCGGGGGCGGGGGGGCCCACAGGCCCCCTAGAAGCCCCCAGGAGGCCCCAGGAGGCCAAAGAAGGCCCCCAAGAGGCCCGAAAGAGGCCCCAAGAGGCCCCAAAACGACCCCCAAGAGGCTTCCCCAAGTGCCTTGCTCAATCCCCTGAGCCTCAGTCCCCAAGCCTGAGGATTCTCAGTGGGCCTGGACCCCAAGCTCTCAAATCTCGAGGCTCACCGCGCGCCCTCTGGGGCCCCCAGAATGTTCCCGCATGTCTTTCGAGCCCAAGAGAGGCCCAAGACAGGCCAACAAGGCCTCGAGAGGCCCTCAAAATGGCCCAAGAAAGCCCCGAATCACCGAACGATCGGTCCAAGACGCCCAAGATGGTCCCATGGCCATTACCATGGTAAACATCACCACCATCATCATCATCATCATCATCATCATCATCATCATCATCATCATCATCATCATCATCATCATCAGCAGCAGCAGCAGCAGCAGCATCTTCAGCCGCAGCATCATCATCATCATCATCATCATCATCATCATCATCATCATCATCATAATCATCATCATCATCATCATCATCATCATCATCATCATCATCATCATCATCATCATCATCATCATCGTCAGCATCATCGTCGTCGTCATCATCATCATCATCATCATCATCAACATAATCATCATCATCTTCATCATCGTCATCATCATCATCATCATCAGCGCCAGCATCACCATCATCATCATCATCATCATCATCATCGTCGTCGTCGTCATCATCATCATCACAACCATCATGATCATCATCATAATCAGCATCATCATCATCATCAGCAGCATCATCATAATCATCGTCATCATCTTATCATCATCATCATCTTCATCATCAGAATTATTATCATCAGCATGATCAGCATCATCAGCAGCATCATCAGCATCGTTATCGTCATCATCATCATGATCATCATCATCATCTTCATCATCATCGTTATCGTCATCCGCATCATCATCAGAATCCTCATCATCAGAATCATCAGTATCATCATCATAATCGTCATCGCCATCGTCATCGTCATCATCAGCATCATCATCAGCATCATCATCAGCATCATCATAATCATAAGCATCATCATCATCATCAACATCATCATCAACATCGTCATCATCAGCATCATCATCAGCATCATCATCAGCATCAGCATCATCGTCATCGTCATCGTCATCGTCATCATAATCGTCATCATAATCATCGTTTTCGTCATCGACAGCGTCATGGTCATCATCATCTGCATGTTCATCATCATCATCATAATCATCATGATCATCATCATCATCATCATCATCATCATCATCATCATCAACATTGTCATCATCATCATCATCATCATCATCGACATCATAATCGTCATCATCATCAGCATCATCATCATCATCATCATCACAACCATCATGATCATCATCATAATCAGCATCATCATTGTCAGCATCATCATAATCATCATCATCTTATCAGCATCTTCATCATCAGAATTATTATCATCAGCATGATCAGCATCATCAGCAGCATCATCAGCATCGTTATCGTCATCATCATCATCATCATGATGATCATCATCATCATCATCATCATCATCATCATCATCTTCATCATCTTCGTTATCGTCATCCGCATCATCATCACAATCCTCATCATCAGAATCATCATTATCATCATCATAATCGTCATCGCCATCGTCATCGTCATCATCAGCATCATCGTCAGCATCATCATCAGCATCATCATAATCATAAGCATCGTCATCATCAACATCATCATCAACATCGTCATCATCAGCATCATCATCAGCATCATCATCAGCATCATCATCAGCATCAGCATCATCGTCATCGTCATCGTCATCGTCATCGTCATCATAATCGTCATCATAATCATCGTTATCGTCATCGACATCGTCATGGTCATCATCATCTGCATGTTTATCATCATCATTATAATCATCATGATCATCATCATCAACATTGTCATCATCATCATCATCATCATCATCATCATCATCATCATCATCATCATCATCATCATCATCGACATCACAATCGTCATCATCATCAGCATCATCATCATCGCCATCGTCATCGTCATCGTCATCGTCATCATCGTCAGTATCGTGATCATCATCATCATCATCATCATCAGTATCATCATCAGCATCATCATCGCCATCGTCATCGTCATCATCATCATCATCGTCATCATCAGCATCATCAGCATCATCAGCATCATCATGAAATTCATCGTCATCGTCATCTCGTCATCGTCATCGCCATCATCATCATCATCATCATCATCATCGTCATCATCAACATCGTCAACATCATCATCAGCCGCAGCATCATCATCAGAATCGTCACCCTCATCATCAGCAACATCATCATCGTCATCGTCATCGTCATCCTCATCGTCGTCATCATCACCAACATCGTCATCATCATCATCGTCATCATCATCAGCCTCATCATCATCATCGTCGTCGTCGTCATCGTCATCGTGATCGCCATCATCATCATCATCAACATCGTCATCATCATCCGCATCATCATCATAATCGTCATCGTCATCAGCATCATCATCATCCGCATCGTCACCATCATCAGCATCATCATCGTCATTATCATCATCATCAGCAGCAGCAGCATTATCATCATCCGCATCATCATCATCATCATCATCATCATCATCATCATAGTCATCATCACCATCATCGTCATCGTCATCGTCATCGTCATCATCATCATCATCGTCATCATCATCCAGAGCGCCCTGGATCGGCGGCATTGGCTGAGGCCAGCACAATCACATCCACCCCGAGACTCCCCTCACACGCTCCGTGGCCGCATAGGAAGCTCCAGCGAAGGCCCAACTGCAAGAGCTCGCACGGCGCCTCCAGTTCGGCCCACCCCATCACACGTGTCGTGGCCCCACGGGGAGCTCCCCCTCCTTCGGGCCCCCTGCCTTGCGGTGCCACGACTGCATATCGTCGGGTCCCTCGCCAGGCTGGAGGAAGAGGAGGAGGAGGAGGAGGAGGAGGAGGAGGAGGAGGAGGAGGAGGGGGGAGCATCTTGAACACCCCAGGCAGCCCTCGCAAATCTCGCGGCGCGCGGCGCATGCGGGTGCGCCTCGTCGAGCCTCACGCCGGTTTCCTCGGGTGCCCGCGCCGGAGAGCTGTGGGCCAGGCTGCACCAACCCCCTGGCGAGTGTGATAACTGGGGGGGAGGGGTAGGAAGGGCTGAGAAAGCGAGGAGGAGTAGGAGGAGGAGGAGGAGGAGTGCAAAACCATGACTCATCAACGATGATGCAAGAAACCCTCCCTCCCAAGTTCCCTCTTCATGGGTCCCTACAAGAAATGTGCTATCACTGCGGGAAGTGATCTGTTGGAAGACAACCGCCTGAAAACCTGCAACCATGCCAAACCACCCTTCGAAGGGGAGTCCCGCCTGAGACTTCCTCACAATTCATTCACAGACGAAGCTCCCGCCTGAGACGTCCTCAATACTCAAGCAGAAGAACCCAAAAATGACGACGGCTTCAGGCTTCCGATGACCTGCTGGGATTACCAACATGAAATGCGGACCCCACAGGGAGGCGGCTCCCGCCTGAGACTTCCTCGCAATTCACTCACAGACGAAGCTCTCGCCGGAGACTTCCTCCATATTCAGTGGGGAGGAGCCGAAAGACTGACGACTGTTACAAAGTTCCGATGACCCGCTCGGACTACCAACATGAAATGTGGACCCCATACGGAGGGGGCTCCCGCCTGAGAGTTCGGCACAATTCACTCAAAGACGAAGCTCCCGCTCGAGACTTCCTCCATACGCAGGCCAGGCAAGCTTAAAAGTCACGAGAGTTAGAAGGTTCCGATGACCCGCTCGGATTGCCAACATTAAGTGCGGGCCCCATATGAAGGGGGTTCCCGCTCGAGCCTTCCTCGCGATTCACTCACAGGCGAAGCCCCTTTTGGTCGATGCTCATGATGGGATGGTGATAATGATGACGATTCAAAGGTGCGCGGATGATTATGACAATGATGATGATGCCCAGTGATCATGATGGGATGGGATCGTGACATGATGATAAATGACTGATGATAGAAGGTGAGTGAGTGAGATAGTGAGTGGATGATGGTGCGTGTGCATGTCGTGGGATGACAGATGATGGTGATTGCGATACTTGCGATGAGGCTGGAGACGGTAGACGATGATGATGATGATGATGATGATGATGATGATGATGATGATGATGATGACGATGATGATGATGATGATGATGATGATGATGATGATGATGATGATGATGATGATGATGATGATGGTGTGTGAGTGTGTAAGGAGGAGAGGGGGTGAGGAGGACTGCGCGGTGTGTCCAGAGAAAACAAGAATCCCACACAAAATGTGGGGAATAACTCCTCCATGTCGCACCCCGAAGCATCGGTAGGGCGGGCAAGGCGTTTCGTCTGAAACTTCCTCGAAGTGCTGAACCTCAAGTGGAAAAGTTACCGGAGCTTCACGCATGGAGGTCGGGCCGTTTTCAAAGCGTGGTTCTCGAATAAGCGCCGCGCACACTGGTCTGAAAAAGTGTGCAAGGGCTTCACGGATGCAGGGCAGGCCATTTTCAAAATGTGGCTCTCGCATTAACGCCGAGCATTTTCGCATACAAAGAAAACACGAGATTCACGGATGGAGGGCGGGACGTTGCCAAAATGTGGCTCTCGCCTTGGCGCCGCGCACAGTCGTCTTTAAAAAATCAAAGGGTTTCACGAATGAAGGGCGGGCCGTTTTCCCAGTGTGGCTCTAGCCTTCGAGCCGCGCACATTCGCCTAAAAAGAACTCAAGAGGTTCACGGATGAAGGGCGGGCCGTTTTCAAAATGGGGCTCTTCCCTGAGCGCCACGCACACTTTCTCAACAAAAACTAAAAGTTTCACGGATGAGGCGGTTCCTTTTCAAAATGCGGCCCTCGCCTTAGCTCCACGCACATTCGTTTTGAGGGTTTGTGTTTTGGAACGGTGTTGGCCTGTCAGGGCGCAACAGGTACGTTGACTCGCGGTGTTGAAATCCCAAGAGCGGCAGTCTGGCACGACTCAGGATCGTCCATACGCAACAGTAACGGTGATTCGCGGCGTTGAAGTCCCAGGAACGGTGTTCTGGCACAGTTCAGGATTTTCAAACGATTGTCTTCCAACGGGGCACCTCCCTCAGTGAAAATGAATCCTTGCAGGGGTCTATGACGAGGGAACTTGGAGGGACAGTCTATTTCAATATTGTTGATGAGCCTTGGGTTTACACTGGTCCTCCTCCTCCTCCTCCTCCTCCTCCTCCTCCTCCTCCTCCTCCTCCTCCTCCTCCTCCTGGTCGTCCTCCTCCTCCTGCTTGTCCTCCTCCTCCGGCTCGTCCTCCTCCTCCTCCTCCTCCTCCTCCTCCTGTTTCCTTGAGGGTAATCCCGACCCTAGCGTTGCTCCCGACCATCCCCCTCCCCCCGCGGAGAGGGGCGGTGGCGGCCGTTGGGGGGTTCTCTGCGGAGCTCAGTGACCGCTGGGGCGCCCCCAGGCTCTCTCCGGGCTTCGCGCGCGGGCAGGGCACCGAGGCGGGGTGCACCGAGATCCTTCCTCCTCCTCCTCCTCCTCCTCCTCCTCCTCTCCTCCTCCTCCTCCTCCTCCTCCTCCTCCTCCTCCTCCCCCTCCTCCTCGCGGTCCCGCCTCTCGTTCGGTCAGACGAGGCCAACGCTGGGATGATTTCTAAGATCTGGCAGTTCTGGAGGATTCATCCGGCGCCGCGGCCTCCTCAGCGCGTGCCGGAACGCCCTGAAAGGTGCAGGAGCGCTCTGCGACGGATTCGTCGCTGTCCTAGCCCCACAGGGTTCGGAGGACTATAACGACTACGACGAGCACAGAGAGGGGAACGAACGACGAGGCGACAGGGGAGAGAACACCCAGGGCGGCCAGGGCGGCGAGACGCGCTGGGCTCACGCGCCCGTGCGAGGGTATCCCTGCCTGCGCTCGCATGGACACACGGAGGGACTGGGACAGAATCGGACCAGGACAAAATCGGGGATCCCTGAGATCCGGCGGTTCTGGAGGACGCATCGGGCGCCACGGCCGTTCGAGAGCGCTCCAGAACGCTCCGCGAGCGTTCCATTATCTCGGGGCCCCAAAACCGTGTAGTGACGGACCGCGTAGTGACCTCAGAATCCCCAACGCCCTCACCGTGCATTCCGTCACCGAACGGTTTTGGGACCTCGGAGGCCCCAGTCGTCCAAAACGTCGTCGGAGAACGACCCGAGCCCCAAAACCGTGCTGTGCGGTGACCCCGAGTCCCCACTGACTCACCACGCGGTGTCGTCACCGCACCACTTGGAAATCCGCGAGGTATGCTCGGAAACGACTCGTCCCGGTCCTAGTACTGCCCGACTCGTCGCAGGGGCGGGGCGGCTCGCGGGGCGGAGCACGCGAGCCAGGCTCTGGACGGCGCAGGTTGGCATGGACTACGAATCCGTGGATCTGTCGCGTGGGCGCCAGAGCCAACTCCACCTGCACCTCCTCCTCCTCCTCCTCCTCCTCCTCCTCCTCCTCCTCCTCCTCCTCCTCCCCTTCTCCTCCTCCTCCTCCTCCTCCTCCTCC